GGCGGCTGGCGCTGCATTCGCGGACCAGCCCAGGGTCTTGGAGCAACTGACGATAGCGGCGAGAGCGACGGCCAGACCAAGGCGTTGAAGACGGTACTTGGACACCTCGGGTGCCTTAGGTTCACCGTGACGGTGGGGCGTATCTTTCGGTTTTTCGGGCGTCTAAATGGAACGGAGGAGGAAGCGAAGGTGGAAACGTATAGCTATTATTTGTCTGAGACGCACAGTAGGCGTAGAAGAAAGGAAAACAATGAAATTATGAAATACGAAAAGATATGGTTTTAAGGGAGTGCCAGGGTCAGGATTGAGATTGATGTCCAAGGCAGTTATAGCAGTGGATTCTGACTGGCTACTAAGGACTTATAGTTTTGCTAAGTGGCTTTCCACATACAATTTTAACGACCAACAGAGTCAGATTGGTACTTGCTGGATGTCCCAACAAATCATCGTCTATGCGGCATAGTTTCATTTTTGAATTCATTCGTCCGAACAAGGAAGGCTGCGGCAGCACAGGCTTATGGGACAAACGTGTCGCAGCCCATGCTATTCGGATTTTAGCACTATCAGGAATGATAAAGTTGAGATTCAGGTGATAAGAGAAACAACAAGTTTAGAAAGATTTAAGTGTAAGTCGTAACTAAGACTAGTACATTCAAGATTTTTTCCAAAATCCCCAGAAAAAAAGTAATTTTCCTGCGCACAAATAGCGATGGCAAGAAAAGAAGACCATTGAAAACCGCATATATGCAATAAAAATTTGAGCCGCCATTTTTCTCCTCCCTCTAATCGCATTTAAATTTTCTGATATACACCGATTTTATACCTCTTTGTTTATTTGAAATACAATGAGGTCACGAGGGCACAAGGTTGCAACGCCAGCGCTGTTTTAAAAACAGTTAATTCGGCCTCTATTCGACGAATCTTCCTGGGAAATTTACTTATGCTGTCGAAAACTGCAGTCATTTGCGATTATTGATTACTTTTGATATCCCGGTGTTGTGAGTTTATGCGCCCAATTTTATTATTTTAGAACGGAGAACGCTTTTGCTGAAAATTTTGGAACGATATTTTCAAAATAAAGCCTATCA